TCTAGAATCTCTTGACCACCTTATCCTTGTAGGTCAACTAAAAATACCATAGGTGAGTCGACTACCAACTGCGTGTGAATGTTGATGTGCAAGTCCTAGGAAATAATTCTCAATCAATCTAATAATGCTTCAACCAAAATGTGGTTTACATAAGAATTGAAGTTGTTGAATACTTGAAGACCAATGATAATATGGAATTTGTGTCAATGAATAGATTACTATGTAACGATACAATATTATTTGGTAATTAAATCAAATTTTATTTTAATTCTAGTTGTTGAAAATTGTTTAGTGATTAATTTTATTCATGTAAGAATTCTTATGGAGTAAGGATTATTGGTGACCATTTTTGTTTGTTTGTTTTTTTTCTATAAATATAAAGTAACTATTAACCTTTAGCATTATTAGAGTGATAATTATTGGAGAGATATAATTTTTTTGGGGACATCTTCACCTTTTTTATCTTTGTCACATAGATATATTTTGTAGGGATATTCATCATAGTTTTGGTAAAATACCAATTTTGCTAATATATCATATTTTTAGGGTGTAACAAATTTTGGGATATATATCAAATTATAGTTATAAAAATTTATGTATTGCTCTTTGTATTTTTCATATTTATAAAATATTATTATTGTTTTATTCATAGAGATAACCAATAATAAATATAATCTAGGTTTTAGTTCGTTTTACTACCTAAGCTTTTAATTTTTTCAACATTGTACCTAACTTTTAGTTTTTATTTCATTTTAGTACACCCACCGTTAAAAACTTAATTTGTTTAATACCTAAACTATCAAATTTGGTCAATTTTATTACTTAAACTTTCAATTATTTTTTTAGAACTTAACTTTAAGTTTTTAGGGAACTAAGATGAAACAAAGACTAAAATTAGGTATGACTTTGAATCTTTTTTGAAAGTTTAGGTACTAAAACAAACTAAAACTGATAGTTTAGGTACTAAACACGTAATTTACCCTATAATATATAATATAATCAATACAAATTTCTAATGGTGCACTACATTATCCATTTAAGCTACTTTTTTATTATTAAGGATTTCTTTTTAGCCTTCTTTAAAAAGGGTTTGCAGGTTGAGAATGAGTGTATACAATCGTGTGATCTATGTGACTAAAATTATATCCTTAACTTACTTGATAGGGGATAACAAGGGAGTGATAAATGTTTTTCGAAGATAAGAATCTAACCTAAGGGTCTAGACTCAATCAAAGAATGAGATGGAAAGTTACTAGAAAATTAAGATAAGAATAAAATATTAATATGAAGATAATGAAGATTAAGACAATAATATAAAAAGATAAAGAAGATAAAATATGACAACTTAGCTCAAATTTGCTGATGAGTGGAAATGGTGATTTTTTGATGATGATGGTGACAATGATTATAATAGTTGATGGACAGTTGTCCTACGAACCCTCTAATTACAATTGACTAGTAAAATTCAATAATTAGCTCTAACCATCCCTCTTAGTCGTAATGAAAATACAAACTAGTGTATGAAGATCTCCCTCACGAAGAACTTGAAAGAACTTAAAGATGAAGAATGCTTCAAACGCACAAGACAATCAACACTTGTAAAAATGAACTCTCGTTGTATTATTAATCAAAGAAATCCATTTTACTATGGTGAATGGAGCCTCCTTTATATAGGGTGAGGAGTTCCATGAATCTAAGTAACTAATGAGTAAAATAATAATAAATGAAAGATAATGTTTTGATTATATTCTAATTCCAAATAAAATAATAATAAACTAAAACTAATGTTTTAAATCTATCTTAATTCATAATAAAAAATATATATCTAATCCTAAAAGATAATGAATCATTCTATATTAAATTATATTACAAATAATAAAAAAATATTGAAAATTCGTAATATTTAAAAAATCATGTATTAATCTTGTATATGAATTTCTGCATGTGCTGTCTTCACTAAAATGGACATATCTTAAGTTCTCGATGTCAAATTGATACAATTCAAGAATAGTTGGAAAGATAAGAGAAAGAAAATTGTAACTTTAGAGTACATGTTGACCAAATAACACCTATATCCTCTTTAAAAAGTCTTCACAAGTCTGTTGATATTCTAGTCTTCTTTTCTAAGGCCTGGACGTGTGGATCAATTGGAATAGTTAGTCTATCTCCCTTTGGTACGAGTCTTATGGTTTAATTATCATATTTCATATCTTGTCTGGTCTTGTGGGTACTATAAAATGAGTGCAGATATACGTGCAAGTATACACAATCGAACAAGTAATACAGTGATAAGTTGAGTATCGTCTCCACAGGGAATTGGGGAAATTAAAAAGGTTTTTCAATTCACTTTACTTTGTCACCTAAGTAAAGTTAGTGATGGTATGTACAAATGAGAATGTTGTGGCAAAATGGAATGACTGATGTGAAAATGGAATGGTGGTAGTATGGTTGCAATTGAATATGTCGTGGCAAGTTGACTGAAATGTCGTGGCAAATTCAATTGTGATAAGTGCACACAAATAGAAATGTCTAGGCAAAATAAAGTGCAATTACTGGATTTAATATATATATATATATAGGACTTTAGCTTTCTCACATGACAAGCAACGATGAGAATGAGTGATAGGAGTTACAAGGAATACCTAAGTCTACTTCTCTGAATGGTATTTCTTCTTTGCTTACCCTCCATGACAGAGTCTACTGAGGTACCCTATGCTATCTCTAGTAAGGGACTTGACAGATTAAAGATGCCCTGGAAAAACTGATTGGCGTAAACCATTGCAGTGATCCTATTGTTCCAGATAACAGGATATGTCTCGACAATACCTTTTTGCGGCAGCATTAACACCTAACCTATCGTTCAAGAACAACTCCTTTTAGTCGAATAAAATCCTATCCTTATCTCTAAGGTGGATTATGCCTAGTTACTCTCTAGAACCTGTTGTTTAAGTAGTTCCTCCCTAGTTTCTCTCGAATACTAAGGATAATTTGCCAAGGCATTCTCTCGAACCCTATGACCCTCCTAAGGAATGGCTACTCTCGTAGCTCCTACAACCTTAAGGCTTTAAGTTTCATAAACAAGACAATATAAAGCATAGAACAACAACCATTCATTAAAATAAAAACTTAAACATCCATGCGAACTCCCACCAAATAGGATTAGTTCATGGTGGGGTTCGAAATTAATAAGCACAAAGTAAGTATCATTCGTTCCTTACAACCCAATAACAAAATATAAAAGTAAGAACTAAGGGGAGGAGAAAAAGCCTTCAACGTGCACTACCAAATGCCTTCATCGGCCACCAAGAACTGCTCTTAGAGAAATAGCTCCTTTCGGATGATTAGAACGCCACTCCCTCTGGCTTGTCCAGGAGAAATTCCACGGCAAGTAGGATTGACTGAGAACGGTGAGAACTTCCCACTCTATCTTTTTAAGCTCAAATCCAGGTGGAACCAAAGTCTTCTTCCATATGGCTTCATCCTCTATTTATAGGGGAAAATAAATCCTAAGACTTGATATTAACTTTCCTAGGAAACCCTAAAAACCATGGTTAAGTGATTGGGAATCGAGCAGAACAGGCTATGATGCAGCCTGGGTAGCTGGCTGATGGACTGGCAAAATCTCGTTACAGGCACCAAAGGACACACAAGATCTGGAGGGTCAGGTGGCATCATCAGCGGAACCGGCGGTTGCAGTGTTGATCCCTCCAGGCGGATCTTCGAGGTGGATTTCTCGGGCAGAGCTCTCGAGAAGTCGGAGACAGCTGGTTTCAAAAATATCTTCTCGCACTTAAAGCGCTTTCAAAATGCCTGTAGAACTTGGCAATTGCATTTTGCTCAGCAATCTCCTTATGTCACGACATTTTCTTTCCTCTTTTCCTTGCTCTCAATACCTGCACATCATCAGACAAATACCTTTCCCATAAAGCAGCACTGTTGTAAAAATAAAATGCCACGGCAAACCGAAATCCACCACATGCAACTAAATGCTTCTAAATGCATCTACATGGTCCTAAATGAGCCTTTAGACGTTCAATAACTTAAGTTAAAAGGTCCCAAAATGTGGCCTTTTACGGAGTTATCACACCCCCAAACTTAAGCTATTGCTTGTCCTCAAGCAATGGATAGTAATAAACAAAAACAAAAATACCATGACAAGTTCAGAAGCCAAATAGTTTCATGGAATAAAATTTCAGCCCTCATCACATATGGCTTCAACATGCTAGACTAGGTCGAGAAATCTAGTACTCTCCCCTAGGGCAAGATTCTTTGTGTGGGTGTGTGTGTGTTTGTATCCAGTCCATGCTTAATAAACTTAAAAATTTTCTAATCAAGCTTTCTTAATTTGCCATGACATTTATAATTTTTTACTCCCACTTTGCTTTTCTTTTCTTTTATTAGTTCTGCTACGAGGGGAGTCAGCCCATCACTCTACTATCCTATACTCTAGGTGAAAGGGAGCATACCTTTCACCCCCGAGCTAGTCAAGTAGAGTCATCCCGTGACATCTTTCATTCACTCATATGCCATGGCATAGTGGAGTGTCCCTCTACAGATATGCCTAGGCATTTATTCTCAAGTTCATTTCAAACATTTTTTTAACCGGTTTTCATCATTAACAGTTTTATGCCATGGCATTTAAAAATTCTCTTATAAAAATTCCTAAGTTTCTCAAGCATGGAAAATATACAATCGTGTCTTCAAAGATTTCAAATAAGCAAGTCCTAGAGTTGGTTCTATCATCCTCAACCAATCATGTACATTCTATCCTAGCCATCAAAATCATCATCATCATCATCGGGTATCCTTAACTAATTCCAAAAACTATTCAAACATTTACTAATGTCATGGCATATTTATTTCACTACTACTATCATGCAGTGATGCGAGAACCCTACTTCCCCCAAACTTGAGAGAAGCGTTGTCCTCAATGCTTACTAAAACTAATATAAATGAAACTACATGCTATGAATGCAATGCAAATGCAAGGTACCTTATCTTTAAGTGGGTGGTGGTGCAGCGGTCGCACGGCGAGTGCGCTTTCTCAGCTTGGCGGGGCTGAAGTGTTCGGAGTCAGAAGATGGTGTGGCTGGAGGAGTGCTAGGTCCCTCTGGGACTGCTGGGAGCGGGGGCTCCTCACGCTGTGATGCTTTCCTGAGGCGACGTTGGCTCCTATGCAAGGGAGTTTGCCGTGGCATCTCGGATTGGGACTCCTTAGTTGACTCGGTGGGATGAGGTACTTCAGGGTGTGCTTCTTCCATAATCGTGACAGGATGCGGCATATGAGGATGTTCGACCGCCAGGGGTTTAACGAATTGTGGTGGTTCTGAGACATTGGCAAGTTGGAGGTTGGCTTCTCGATCTACGTTGAGTGACACAACATGGGCTGGATCAGGGTCAACTGGATCATCCGCTTCAGCGGGTTGGTGACTTTCTTTACTGGATGAGTGTTGAGCAGCAGCTGGAGCAGGGTGGGGTGCTTCTGCAGATGCCTCGACATCCTCATTCGTTGGCACTAGTATGTCAGGGAAGATGGGAATGGTAAAGTTTGTGTGAGGGAGAAACTCCATCAAGGCGCTGGTGAGAAATTCATCGCGACGCTTGAAATAGGCAAAATATGTCATCAGTTTGTCGGACAGCTGCCCGACATGCTCTTGGGTGCGCTGAACTGTCTGTTCGAGGGTATTTGAATTTGTCCTGGCATGTGGAGATGGTGAAACACGAGATGTGGTTGCCTCTTTTTCCTTCCCCTTTGCTTCCTTAATACCCAACAACATAGGAATTTTTGGCTTGGTAATACCAGCAATACCCGGTAAAATTTTGTCGAACTACTCCTCAGGAACTTTCTTTTTACGGCATAAAGTGGTGATGAGATTTGAAAATAGCAAGGCACTTGCAGATCGCTTCAGGCATAAATGGGCTTATTATACAATGATTTCCCCTACATCAATAGGATGCCCGAATATGATAGAGTGTAGTAAAAGAATCCTCTGGCAAGACACGGTGGTGTTGTGGGAAGTGGGCATCAACTTGTGCTTCATAAAATGGTTCCACAACTTCACTTGTGGGAGCAGCTTCTCCCGGTCCACGGTCCTGCAACTCAGCTGCTGGCTGTTCTATTGAGTGTCGGGAAGACAGAGGTGTTCCATAATGCCTTGGTATGTTTGGTTTTCTGCGTCTTGTGCGAAGGTGGTGTGGTGGTCTTCCAGAACCTGCAATTTAAAATATCGATTAATGGCAGTAAGAGTGAATCGAATAGAAATGCCGCGAACCATGACGACATATTGATTTGGCTCAGAGATATTTGAATAAAACTCATTCAATATCGATGCGTTGACTGTGGCCAGATGCTAGGCAAATTTATGCCACTTGTTCTTGTTAACAACATCGGGCACCTCACTTCCAAAGGCGGCATCCTCCTCCTCGGAGAAGACAAATCCCAACTCAAAAAAGACTCGCCGTTTTTTAATGGTTTGGAATCGATCTTTGGCGGCATCATCCACAAAATGTGGTGGTGCAGAGGAAGAGGGTCGTGATCAGACCATTGTTCAAAGAGAAAACAAAGAAAAGTTGAAACAACTTGGAGCTTTTTGGCGGTTATGGTGGTTTCGGCAAAGGAGAGAAGAAGAAGATGAAAGAGAAAGAAGAAAAAGTTATCGTGAAGGAAAATAAGAAGATAATAACAAAAGAGAGATTTTGTGGGGTATAAAAGTGAAATAGTGGGGTCTAGGCGGGAATAAAACAAAAAGAAAGAGTAAAAATTTTAATCCTAAGTAAGAGTGAAAAGTGAAAAAGTTTCCCTCCTTTTACTATTCAAGTTTGCCGCCCAAAATTTTCACAATCTTCCTCTACACACCACACGTGCTGGCCATGTGGGATATTCCTTGCAACAAAAATAAAATAAAATAAAAATAATTAATTAAAATGAGAAATATTAAAATAATGGCAAGATAAAAATAATTTATGTGCAGAAGTAAAATTAAAATGTCACGGCTTCTTTATGATGTCGGACCAATGTCAACGTCGTGTAAGAGAAGCGTCGACTTGTCACGTGCAGGTGGGATTCCTTGATAAGCCTTCAGGCGCTGGCCATTGGCTTTAAAAATGGACTCATTGTCCATGTTCTTGATATGAACAGTGCTATACGGGTAAACATGCTGGACTTCAAATGGTCCCGACCACCATGACTTCAATTTGCCTGGGAAGAGTTTGAGCCTAGAGTTAAACAGTAGAACTTTTTGGCCCTCATAAAAATGCCGAGGAAAAAGCATTTTGTCATGCCACTTCTTAGTTTTATCCTTGTAGAGCTTGGCATTTTCATATGCTTGTGCTCGAAACTCCTCCATTTTATTCAAATCGAGCAATCGTTTTTCCCCAGCAAGTTGTGCGTCGAAGTTTAACTTCTTGATTGCCCAGTATGCCTTGTGTTCTAGTTCAACTAGGAGGTGGCAAGCTTTTCCATATACCATCTTTAAAGGCTAAATTCCCAGTGGTGTTTTAAATGTCGTCCTATATGCCCTAAGTGCTTTATCGAGTTTTGGGGACCAGTCTTTCCTGCTAGGGTTCACCACCTTCTCAAGGATTTGCTTGACTTCTCGGTTAGAAACTTTAGCTTGCCCATTCGTCTGTGGGTGATATGCCATGGCAATCTTATGTCGCACTCTGTATTTCTCTAATGCATTAGAAATTAACCTATTGTTAAAATGGGTGCCCTCGTCACTGATAATGGCCCTTGGTACTCCAAATCGAGTGTATATGTTCTTGTGAAGGAACTTTAGCACCGTCTTCGAGTCATTTCTCGGTGTGGCAATCGCTTCAACCAACTTAGACAAATAGTCCACCGCAAGTAAAATGTATAAATCTCCAAAGGAAGATGGGAATGGTCCTATAAAATCAATGCCCCAAACGTCGAATAACTCTATCTCCAAAATATTTTGCAGTGGCATTTCATGTCGTCTGGAAATGTTTCTAGGGCGCTGCCATCTGTCGCACGCTTTGCAAAATTCTTTGGCATCTTTAAATAGCGGTGGCCAATAGAAGCCCAATTAGAGGACCTTTGTAGCAGTCCTTGAACCTCCAAAATGCCCTCCACAGGTTACGGTGTGGCAATGGTATAAGATATCGCATTAGTCCTCTTCGGGGACACACCGTCTAATCATTTGATTGGCACATTGCTTGAACAAGTACGACTCGTCCCTAAAATAGAACTTGGAATCATGCATAAACTTCTTCTTGCCCTGGTTGTTTAGTTCATAAGGAAAAACACCACTAACAAGAACATTAATGAGGTCAGCGTACCACGGAATTGCCGTGGCATATAAAATTTTCTCGTCAGGGAATTCTTCTTTAATATCAATAGTGTCATGGCATTCTGAAATGTTTTCTAGCCTAGATAAATGGTCTGCAACTTGATTTTCAGTACCTTTCCTATCAACTACCTATAAGTCGAATTATTGCAAGAGTAATATCCATCTAATCAGTCTAGGCTTGGCATCTTTCTTGTTCACTAAATATTTTATAGCAGAGTGATCGGTGTGAACTATGACCTTTGTGCCTATCAAGTATGGCCTAAACTTGTCAAATGCAAATACCGCGACAAGTAATTCTTTCTCAGTGGTCGTGTAATTCAATTGTGCATCATTTAAAGTACGTCTAGTATAATAAATCACATTAAAAATTTTACCTCTACGTTGCCCAAGCACAGCTCCCATGGAAAAATCACTAGCATCGCACATTAATTCGAACGGTATCGTTCAATCTGGGGGAACTACGATTGGTGCAGAGATAAGCCTTTGCTTCAGCTCTTTGAATGCGCCATGGCATTTCTTATTGAACACGAACGATTGATCCTGTTGCAGTATGGTGCACAAGGGATTGGAAATTGTGGAGAAATCCTTGATGAATCTTCGATAAAATCCAGCATGACCAAGGAAACTCCGAATGCCCTTGACAAAATTTGGTGGGGGAAGCTTCTCGATTACCTCGATCTTGGCCTTGTCTACTTCAATGCATATTTTAGAAATTTTGTGGCCTAGAACAATGCCTTTTGTCACCATGAAGTGGCATTTTTCCCAGTTCAGCACAAGATCAGTCTCCTCGCATCGCTTTAGTACCTTTGCCAAATTGCCGAGGCATTTTTGAAAGTTGTCCCCAGAAACAGAAAAATCATCCATGAAAATTTCAAGAAAGTCTTCAACCATGTCAGAGAATATGGCTTGCATGTAGCGCTGAAAAGTTATCGGGGCATTACAGAGTCCAAAAGGCATTCTTCAGAAAGCATAAGTGTCATAGGGACATGTGAACGTGGTCTTCTCTTGGTCCTCTGGTGCGATGGAAATTTGGTTATACCCCGAGTAACCATTCAAGAAACAATAAAATGCCTTGCTAGCAAGTCGATCCAGCGTTTGATTGATGAACGAAAAAGGGAAATGATCCTTTTTGGTGGCCTTGTTAAGCTTGCGGTAGTCCATGCAGATTTTCCACCTGGTGACTATGCGTATAGGTAATAGTTCATTGTCTTCACTTGTCACCACGGTTGTGCCTCCCTTCTTTGGCACACATTGAACGAGACTCACCCATGAACTATCCGAGATAGGGTATATTACTCCAACGTTAAGCCATTTGAGAATATCTTTCATCACAACTTGCTTCATGATTGGGTTCAATCTTCGCTGTGGCTCTATGGATTTGCCGTGTCATTCTTCCAGCAGGATTTTATGCATGCAGATTGTTGGACTTATTCCCTTGAGATCTGCCATCGTCCATCCTAACGCTTTCTTATGCTGTGACAAAACACTTAACAAACTCGATTCTTGGTTAGGAGTGAGAGCAGAGGAAATAATCATAGGTAAAGTTTCGTCACTACCTAGATAAGTATATTTAAGATGTTGTGGCAACTTCTTAAGTTCTAGGGTAGGAGCATGCTGTAATGAGGGCTTGGGAGGAACAAATTCTTCGAAATTAAGAGGTTCAACCCACGTACCTGGGGTATCTTTAAGGAAGCTAGCTTGTTGTTCCTCGGATGAAAAATTATTAGGCTCTCCGACCTTTAAGTCTTCTAGTAGCCTCTCATTATCATCCAGCTGAATGAAATTGTCATGGAAAAATTGATCTTTTTCTTTTGCAATTACTGTATCAACTTCAAAAATGCTCTGGCTTTCTTCAGAATCATCCATGTACTTGAGTGATCGGAAAATATTTACAGTGACATGCTGATTAGCCACTCGCATGGTGAGCTCGCCCTTCTCACAGTCGATGAGAATACGACCGGTAGCTAGGAAGGGTCTCCCCAATATGATGGGCTCTGTGGCATCGACCTCACAGTCAAGAATAAAAGAATCGACAGGAAAAACAAACTTGTCAACCCGCACGATGACATCTTCAACTCGCCCTTCAGGACGCACATGTGAACGATCAGCTAATTGCAGGATGACCGAGGTGGATCTCACATTTCCTATCCCAAGCTTTACGAATATTGACTTAGGAAACAAGTTCACACTTGAGCCAAGGTCACATAATGCCTTCCCAACAAATTTTTCTCCTATCGAACATGGGATGATAAAACTGCCTGGATCATGTCTCTTCGGTGGCATCTAGCTTAAGGAGGAGAAAAATTCTTTTGCCCTGGCAATTGTCTCGTACTACTCCACTTTTCTCTTATTGGTAACAATTTCCTTGAGAAATTTCGCATATGTAGGCATTTGTTCCATAGCTTCCAGAAAAGGAACATTGATTTGAAGTTGACTCAGAATGTCAACAAATTTCCTGAATTGAATAT